TCAGGCGACCTAACTGCCCACCTGAAGATGAAACTTTTATTGTGGAGAATGACAAAAGAAAAAGAAAAAGAAAAAGGTCTAAATCAAAGAGTTTCTCAACAACTTTATTTCCAGTCAACACTCACTTGCCTTTGACTCCCAAAACCACATATCAAACGATAAAAATACAATTTGAGAAATTTACTGATCATAAAAAAAACTTATTGATTGTTATTTAATACATAACATCAGTGTTGATCAAGACCATTCTCATGTTGGATTTTATAGGCTACTAGTACTACACAACCTAACTAGTGTTCATTTACATTTTAGTGACTACAGTCAGCCTGAGGACTACAAAGGGTCTGAGATCGGCTCAGGTTTGGAGGACAGAGGGAACACCGTAAGTTAAATCTGTTGTACAATTATTGTTTAACTGTCAACATCAATAGTTATTATGCAGCTCAATTTTGTCTTTGAATTTTCTAGCAGTCCAATTGTGAGGGGAACGAAAACAAGCCACATATCATCCTGTCATTCAAGCCAGAGCAAATGAGAGAGAAGAGGTTTTTGAATGAAACATTTACTCAAAATTCAGAAGATGAACACTCCACTGCAAAAATGCCTGATCAGCCATTTGGAGTGCGTACATCCTGGGAAGATTGTGCTGTTGAACAAATTAAAAACATTGCTTATGGGAGCATCGAAGACTTAAACAATGACATCAGTGTACCAATCAGAATAAGCAATTTTGTCCAATATGCCAATGTAATTGACATTGTTCAAAAATTTTGGAGGAATCAGGAAAAGCAGGATGTCACCCTTTTAGTTGGTAGATTCTCAGTACGGTTGCAAGGAAGTGATCTGTACTGTTGTCCAGTCAAAAAAGATGAGAAAAATCTTCATCTTCATTACAAAAATCTTTCTTATGCAACACTGAAACTATCGAAAAGAAATGCTAAAAACTTTTCTGAGACAATTTGGAACTATATCATGGGGAACCATGACAAAGTTGAATCTTATGTACTGACACCTCAAGATGCCACTGCAGTATGTGCTGTTTTGTTCTCAGAAGTTATTAGGTATCCTGACATGTTTTTCCACAACATTCTTCTGATGCATTATTATAAATCATGGAGCGAGTTTTGTGACCATCATCCCATGGTAACAGGAGGGTCATGGAAACATCAGAGCAATGAAGTAGTGCCGGAAAAAGTTGTAAAGAGAAAACAAGAAAACCTTGTATTTTGTGCTAAGAGAATAATGAGCAGTGAGGGAAAAAGAAGCACTCTATTCCAAGTTACCTCCCCAGTTTGAAGAACCAGAACCTTGGAGAACATGCTCATGGACTTATGCGGATCGCAAAATGTGTTAATATAAATTGGGGGCTCTTTTTGAGAGAGGCTTTTGGGGTATGGGAGCTGAAAACGCAGCGACTCCTAAAGTTTCAATCAACTATCTATCTATCTATCTATCATTTTATATACTATTTATGATTTTATATAATATTTATGTATTTATAATTTTATATTAAATATGGTAATAAATATGATTTATTGACTATTGTCTTTTTGTGAGTGGTCATTGAAATGCATTACATGAAAGGGGTAATAACATTTTGATATGAAAATATAACAAAAACACGATAATATACCTTGCATATTGTGTGTGTGGGGGGGGGGGGG